CAGACGACTTCGCTGCCTGAATCCCGATCGAGTGAATTTCAAACTCAAAAATTCCAAAAGATTTAATTCACTTTTGGAGCTAATCGGTTAAGTTAAAAACCTCGAGTATTCGTAAAAATTACACAGAATTTAAAACTAAATTTTGAAAGAAATAGGTTTTTAGAGGGTGAGGACTCGTAATAATAGAATTACAGTTATAACCACTGAGCGGGGCAGTATAGTCGGACGGGGCCGACCATACGATACCCTTCACAACTACCACGGAACTCGGATGTTTATTCCGATTCCCTTCACGGTGGGTTGTGTTGTGATGTTCGCCTATATTCGACTAGAAAACACACACAAAATTAAGTTTTCGGTCCACTTCATCCCAAAATCTTAATCAGATCATCATCGAAAATTATAGGCGTTGTCTTTGACCATATTTGGAACTTCCGGCCTCTAATGAGGTAATGGGTTACTAAATAATATCTGAATACGTAAGCACCTGTAAATATTTGTGTGTAACTCCCACATCCGATTAAATACGACAGTGTAATTGGAGTAATTTTGAAGGTCAACCATTCCTGTTGGATACACTATCAACTTCGCTGATCTATATGCTTCACGAGTAAATATATACGCCATAGAATACAAAGTTTGTCATTTTTCACACAAAAGTCAGGGCCCATTTTACCCGCTAAATAATGACCGATCTTTATCAAAGCAGGCATGCATACTCTCTGTCCCAATCCTCTTCTCCATGTAAAAAACCGACAAAAATTAAATATTTGGTCCATATCATCGCCTAAATATTAACCGATCTTTACCAAAAACAATAAGGGTCTTCACTGGCCAAAACCCTTCCTACATGCAAAATTTCGTGAAGATTGGTCCATAATTGTGGTCTGTATCGTGTTTACAAACTATAATGGACAGACGGACGGACACACATGTTTAAATCGACTCAGCTAGTCGATATATGACGATCGGTATACTTAATGGTGGGTCTAGGACCAACATTTGGGGCTGCACAAAGCTATAATACCCTGACAACATAGTTGTGTATGGTATAAAAATGGTATATAACAGTGCCACCCAAAGACGGACGGCGCCGACTATATAACACCGTTCACCACTTTGGGTACATATAACTACGTCGCTGGGTACATACAAGAGATGCTCATATTTTACCATATCCTGTGGATAGAACATACATTGCATCTTTAGAGGACAATTGGCATTGAAACGGATTAAATTAAATATGTGATTTACATAGACATATCCAATTTTAATCAATTCATAAACTGACTAATCTATGAAAAATTGCATGAAATGGGGCAGATTTGGGTTAGGAGCTATATACAATTCTGGACCAATTTGAGAAACCGTTGATTACAGCATTTGGTATGCTGCAGCACGGCGCGATTGGAGAAACATTTTTTATTTGGTACTCAATTTGCATCAACTTCCACGAAAATATATAGGGATTATATCTATATATGAATATATATTGCAAAATAAAATACATGATATTTAATGTTCAATATAATACACAATTTAAAAAAAAATCAAATGCAAAAATATGTGGAAGCTTTATATAAACCTGAACCGATTTTTACGAACCTTAATAAACATCACACTAAATTTAATTCAATACCCTCTGCCAAATTTCGTGTAAATCTTCGGTGCACCATTTACACAAAATATGAAAGCTATATCTAAATCTGAACCGATTTCAACAAACCTTAACACACGTAATTATACCCTACACAACTATGTTGTCAGGGTATTATAGCTTTGTGCAGCCCCAAAAGTTTGTAACGCCGCGAAATATTGGTCCTAGACCCACCATTAAGTATACCGATCGTCATATCTCGACTAGCTGAGTCGATCTAGACATGTGTGGCCGTCCGTCCGTCCGTCTGTCCAATATAACTTGTAAACACGATACAGGCCACAGTTATGGACCAATCTTCACGAAATTTTGCATGTAGGAGATTTCCAGTCGTAGTGGGCTCAATCAGACACCCAATGATTATTTGGTGTACAATAAGATTTACAAATACAGGAAATAATATATAATATAATATATAATGCACAGTTGTTTTTGTACTTGAAATTGAAAAGCGGTCAAAATGACCGCCTTCGACAATCTAGTGTTAAAAATGCGACGTCTGTTAGGATGCATCTCTTTAATATATTCAAAATGGTGAAGGGTGTCATATAGTCGGCCAAGTCCGACTTTACTATATTCCTTACAGTTTTTTTATATTTTGGTCCGATTTAACCTAAATAGAGCGCCAAACAGCATCTGTTTGTTCGATTTATATGTACGTAATACTGCATAGCGAATGAAATTAAGTTAAGAATCAGTAAGCGGAGCAGTATAGTCGGACGGGGCCGACCATACGATACCCTACACAACTACCACGGAACTCCAATTTTCTGCGGATGTTTATTTCGAGACTGGGCAATATTTCGTGATATTTACACCCTCTTGCCCGATTAGAGGTAAACAGCACCTCTTCCTCACACTGACATATTTTCCGAATATTACGAGTATTCAGTACAGCTATTGTCCAGATTCTCTTCACCGTGGGTTGTGTTGTGATGTTCGGCTTTCATTTGAGGTCTATAGATCGACTCGAAAATAAAACTAAAAATTAAGTTTTCGGTCCACTTCATTCCAAAATTATTATCTGATCATCACCGAAAATTATAGGCGTTGTCCTTGGCCATAACTGGAACCTCATGGAACATTTCAAAGCGATCAGCGCTATAGTTCCGCTCTCTAGAGTGATAATGGGTTACTATTTAATATACGAATACGGAGATACCTGTAAATATTTAGGTGTAACTCCCACATCCGAGCACATACAACAATATAATTGGTATTAATTTAAAGGTCAACCACTCCTCTTGGATATAATTTCAACTTCTCGGGTATATGTCCTTCAGGGGTAAATATTTACGCCATAGAATACAAATTTTGTCATTTTTCACACAAAAGTCAGGGTCTATTTGACCCGCTAAATATTGACCGATCTTTCTCCAAACAGACATGCTTATTCTATGGCCCGATCCGCTTCTCCATGCAAGATTTCACGATGTTCGGACCATTGTTGCGGCCTCTGGAGCGACCAGAAAAACCGACAAAAGTTTAGTATTTGGTCCATTTCATCCCCTAAATATTAACCGATCTTTCCCAAAAACAATAGGCAAAATCTCCAGCTGACATCGCAATGAGTGAGGAATCTGATGAAATTAATATAAACTTCGCCTAAATTATTGTGGGCGAAGGATACCTTATAACCTCATGAGGTGTCGTTTTTACTTGTTTTTTTATTCAAAGTAATTTTTGAAGTCACTGAAAAAACACATAGCCTGTTCTTACGTCAGAGCTTACTTTCAGGGACATGTTATTACCTAGGTTATACATATATATATATATATATATATATAGTAGCAATTTTAAATTAATTTTAAAGTTTAAAATTACAGTTCTTCAACAAAGGGATTGGGACATACTTGTTCCTATTGTCACATCTTGTTAAATTTCGTATTGATCTTTAAAAATTTAAACATGTATAATTACATGTAAAATCGTTAGCAGTAATGTGTGGAGCATAAACAAATGCAATGGAAGCCTATCCCAATTTGTGACCTAGAAGGACTATCATATGTAGTTATCTGTCAATTTACATTTAAAGTTCCTTGAGTTTTAAAAAAATATATAACCTGCAATGATTGATACACAATCAAACGTTGTTTGTATTGGTTTTTGCATTGAAACAGTTTTCCAAGAATGCAAGGTCGAAGATCGCCAAGCGGTCAAGTTGCCATGCCATATGTTCGATTACAACTCAATTTCAATGCTACTCTCGATGATTGTTTGATACGTTTGAGCTTCTGAATTGTGGCACTCCACCTCTGCTTTGTTGTGTCGTTATGTGTGTGTGTGTGACAGAAAGTTCCACTTGCAAAGTAATAATTGAGGCGCTGGTGTTAACATTGGCAAATATGAATTTTCTTTGTGCTCCGGTTATGAGTTAATTTGTTCGGCGCGCTCACTTTTACAAATCGGACTGACTGTTTATTTGCAACATTGTTATTATTATTAAATTTGTTTTTGTTCTTCGTTGTTTTGTTATTTTTTGGCGTGGCATTTGAAAATAACATCAGAGTAGAATCTAATGCCACAATTAATAACAACGCCGAACCTTTTGTTTAGTATAAAAGTTGGTAGTATTTTCTTTAAGAAGTCAGAAACAATAGAAATATCGTTCAGTTAATACAATACTCTGATTTGTTTTGTGAATCCTTTTTTTAAAGTAAACATGAAGGTGAATATAAAAATCTGTTTAAAAAGGACTACTTTAAAAATAAAGAAAAAAATATATAAACTAGTTAATACTTGACCGGATTAAAATATGGAATGTGGCAAATGTATTTAATTTTAAAAGTGTGGTGTTACGATATATCCAACTATATAACGTGTAAATCATTCATAATATTTTTTTATTCAAAGCTCGATGAGAATCTGGAAATTTTCTGTATTCAAAGAGTTTAAAAAGGCAAAAGTAACTATAAAATATTGAAATAAACCATTATATTATTGTATACCAGTACCAGTAATACTTACAGGCTACTTTTTTTCTACTCTGGTATATATCTGCATGAGCTTGGAACATGCTGAGGGAAATAATATAGACCCATCGCTACTTTTGAGGATATTCAATTCTCACTTCATGAATCGAAAGCATGAAAGCATGTCCAGCTGTATGGATTTAAATTCCTAAACAATTTTTTTGTAATTTTGCATTTCCGGCTCCGAAGTTATTAAAAAATTTCCATGTAGACACACCATTTGGTATAGTCTTCAAATATCGATAGTGTCTAAGTTAATGTACTTGAAGGTCACACATTTTACTTTCGAAGTGGTATTTCCATGTTTTTTCCTAGAATGTTTCCGCCGTGAAATAAAACTTTATTCGCCTTAATTTTGGAAAAACAGGAACATGGCGTACTTTGAGATTTGGGATTCTCAAAGAGTAGAGGATATCCTAGTATAATTTTTTCAATATTGATACATATTTTGACTATAACAAGTATCCGCAATTTTGTACAATGGAAAAACCAGTAAGGAAAGATCAAAAGTCGGACGGGGCCGAAGGTTATCACCACTTTGGAAACATACAAGAGATGTTAATATATACAATATCCTGTAGATAAAACAGACATAGAATCTTTGTAGAACCCTTGAAATGGAATCGGGCGAACTTAAATGTGCTATCCATATAGATATTTAAACCACATGGATCTAATGGTGTATCATTCAAATAAAATTGGACGAGACTATATATGGGAGTTATATCTAAATCTGAACCGATTTTAACAGACATTAGTCTAGACCTAATTCAGTACTCTGTCCAAAATTTTGTCTCAATCGGGCAAATATTGGGAGTTTGGTCCATCATTAACATAAAATCGGACGAAACTGTATATGGGAGATATATCTAAATCTGAATCGATTTTAACAAAACTTCACAAACATCAGTCTGGATATAATTCAGTACTTTTTGCAAAATGTTGTCACTGTCGGACAAATATTAGGAGTTTGGTGCATCATTTACATAAAATAGGACGAAACTAATATGAGAGCTATATCTAAATCTGAACAGATTTTAACAATGCTTCGCAAACATCAATCTGGACCTAAGTCAGTACTCTGTGCAAAATTTTGTCACAATCGGACATATATTAGGAGTTTGGTGCATCATTAACATAAAATCGGACGAAACTATATATGGGAGCTATATTTAAATCTGAACCTATTTCGAAAAACTTGGCAATATTAGGAGTTTACATAAAATCGGACCAATCTATATATGGGAGCTCTATCTAAATCTGAACCTATTTTCTCCAATTTCGTCCTTGGGCCAAATAAGTGACATTGCTAAATTTTATCCAAATTTTATCCAAATGCGAAATGTACATTGTTCACAAAAATACATGGACGGACATGCAAAATCAACTCAGAATGTTATTTTATGCATATTCTCAAAAGGATCCATTGATCTATCTCGATTCCTTTTGCCTGTTACAAACGTATGCACCAAGACATAATACCCTTACCACGTATGCCAATATGCGTTTAATCATTTTAGTCCCTACGAAACATTCATATAAATATTTCAATTTACCTTTAATTAATATTCGTTGAAATTACATTTGAATTATTTTTCAGTTCATCTGCGCTGTACTCTTGTTGGCCCTTGCCGTTGGTGCCCACTCTTCATTGTTGTTGGCCGGTACTCATGACGCTACAGCCTGGGGTGCACCTTGGGCCGGCGGCTGGGCTGGTCATGGTGCTTGGGGTGGACCTTGGGCCGGTCATGGTGCCTGGGCTGGTAATGGTGCTTGGGGTGGACCATGGGCTGGTCCCGCTGCTGTCGATGTTAGCGGTGCTTGGGGTCATGGTTATGGTGCATGGGGCGGCTATCCCGGCATCTCCCTAAGCCAAGGACCTGGTTTGGCTCACGGTGCTCATGGACCCGGTGTATACGTTGCTAAGACTCGTGGTGCTGTTCACACCGCTCCTTTGGCTGGTCATCTTAACTCTGCCACTTCTGTGAATGTGGCTCCTGCTCCTGGTACACATTAAATCCTCTATCTCGAACTACTGACAAAATATTATCGGATGACAACAAATTTATTTCCAAGGAGTTCTGTGAAACGTCCTTCAAACAGCAAATAACCAAAATAAATTAGCACACACAAAATCCCCCTTTCTCCTACAAAAATTTAAGCCAGGATTACAAATACTCTTAATCCCCGTACATCACAATGCATAAAAAGAAAAAATAAATAAAAAAATTTTAACTATTATTATTAGTCTATTCATTTTGTACAAAATATTATGTAAATCAATTTAAAGCAAATATCAATCGGACACCCGTTATTTATTTGGATAAATATCTGATAAACTATATCTAAATCTGAACCGATTCCAAAGAGACTTGACAGAGACTAATTTATATTAACTAAATGATTTCCACGAAACATAGCACACATAATTCTAGACTAATTTCAGTACGTCATGCCAAATTTTGTGCAAATCGAAAAATATATAGGGACATTGGTACACCATTTACCTTAAATCAGACGAAAATGCATATGGGAGCTATATATAAATCTGAACCGATTTTCAGGAAACTTAACACACATCATTCTAAACCTAATTTATTACGCTGTGCCAAATTTCGAGCAAATCGAAAAATATATAGGGACTTTGGTACACCATTTAGATTAAGTCAGACAAAAATATATATGGGAGCTATATCTAAATCTGAACCGATTTTCACGAAACTTAAGACACATGACAAATTTCATGCAAATCGAAAGATATATAAGGATTTTGGTACACCATTTACCTTATATCGGACGATGCTATATCTAAATCTGAACCGATTTTCATGAAACTTAACACACATCATTCTAGGCCTAATTCATTACTTTGTGCCAAATTTCGTGCAAATCGAAAGATATATAGGGACATTGGTACAACATTTACCTTAAATCGGACGAAAATATATATGGGAGTTATATCATGAACCGATATCTGAACCGATTTTCCCAATTTCAAAAGGGCCAAATAAATGACCTATGCCAATTTTCATCCAATTCGGATCATAAATGCAACCTGTACTTTGTTTACAATTTAACATGGAAAGACAGACGGACGGACATGCATAAATCGACTTAAGGGGACCCCCCCCCCCCCATTCTCGGGGTCAAAAATTTTGTTGATATAATTCGAATCTACACTAATTAAAGAATGTCCCTACAAAATTTCACATGAAAATCTCAAGAAGTCTTGAAGATATAGCCGATTTATTGTGTCAGCATCAAGTGACGACTGAAGGGCTTCTCAAACTTTAAACGCGTTTTTCTCTAAACATTTTTTTGCGAATGGCGGGCACGATAACTCAAAAACTAATAACCCAATCGACCTCAAATTTTTACACGTTTCTCTGTGAGTGTGTAGCTATCGTATGAACTAGGATAAAGCCAATCGGTGAAGATCTTACTTATTTTTTGACTTGGGTTTTGGTAAAAAATCGGCGATTTCCCAAAAATATTTTTTTCAAAGGTCCACCATTTTGTTGATTTTAGAGCGAAGTCAATAATCCTAGTTCATACGAGAGCCAGACATGTACTCTTTCTAACACCGTTGGAATTTTCGGATTCCGATGTTCCAGTGAGGAGTTATCATGCCCGCCATCAAAAATAAGGACTTTTCTTTAATTGCAAAAAACAACAACAAAACAATAACAAAATTTTTTGTAAATTATTTTTCTTCTCTTTTAAATCTTCAAATATATATGTGCAAAGTTACAAACATTGGTATTGATTTACCAGCCCATTGAAAATCTTGAAAAATTAAAATCGAGAATGGGTGGGGTTCCCTTAAAAAGTGATTTTATGCATATTCTCAAAAGGAACCATGTGTCTATCTCGTTTCCGTTTGGCTGTTACAAACATATGAACATAGACATAATATCCTGTACGACAGTGTGGTAAAGGGTATAAATATCAACAATAATTGTTGTTAATAATTATATGATGTTTAGATTGAAATACTGATACGTTTTAAGAAATGCCTACACACGTGATATGCCGCTGAATAAAAGTTAACAACATTCCAAAATAAAGCACACAAACGCAGAACAAAAATTCACTCAGTGTGTGGTCCGACTATTCATAAATAATCCACTGCTCATTCAATCCACATTAATTATAACTAAAAATCCGAATCCGGCTTTAAAATTCAGTTGGTGTTCCATTGCAGGTCGTTGGTAGTGCTTTGAAATTTTTAATGGAATTTTCAAAATACATATCCGCAAAAATTCCCACTTAATTGTGCGTCATGCTTATGGTCTTAATTAAATCAAAACAAAGACAAATCCGCAAAATAAATATTTGTTCTTCCTACACTTATTGTTGAATAATTTTTTAAATACCCTACTGAATGCTTGAGTACCTATTATTATTTTAAAGAATGTCAGAGGGTATTCCTGTTGTCGAGGGAAATTCTTTAATAACAGTTATTGTATACCAAATATTGGTAGATGCAAATACATTCTGGGTTTCAAGATATTATTTAATAACAATTTTTTCTCTCTACGTCCGCAACTTTGGTATGGTATCCCACAATCAGTCATGGTACACTTTTAAGAAGGGCGGGAGTGTGGGAGTATTCAAAACGTGTTCACCTTATCATCGCAATTGTTATCGGATTTTGGCATATTAATTTAATTTGATTTTCTATTATTATTACTTTTTTGTTTAAATTGCGATTGTTTGTTGGCCCAACATATGCAAAAATAGTTGTCGTAGCACTTGTTACCAATATCGAACACACACTTATTGTGGCAGCACTTGTTTTCTACTCAAAATCTGATAAGAATTGTCGGTATTTCAGGTAGACACTTTTATTGGCTTAATATAAAAAATAACCTGAATCAAATGTTTTTTTTTATACCCTTCACCACACTGTGGTACAGGGTATTATGTCTTTGTGCATATGTTTGTAACAGGCAAAAATAATCGAGATAGACCCATGGTTCCTTTTGAGAATATGCATAGAATCACATTCTGAGTCGATTTACGCATGTCCGTCTGTCCGTCCGTCCGTCCGTCTGTCCGTCCATGTATTTTTGTGAACAAAGTACAGGTCGCATTTATGATCCGATTTGGATGAAATTTGGCACAGATTACTTAATTGGCCCAAGGACGAACCCTATTGAAATTGGAGAAAATCGGTCGACGTATAGGCATAGCTCCCATAAAAGGGTACCCCCAAATTTTCGGTATTTTGAGGTTCTTGAGCGCGTTTTTTAATTGAATTCGCTGAAATTTGGTACTTTGAGTTCTTATTGGGTAGCAAATCTCCCTATCAAAAATTATAAATAAAGGTCCATTTTTTCGGAGAGCCCCCATATAAGGGTACCCCCAATTTTCGGTATTTTCGGGTTCTTGGGCACGTTTTATAACGGAATTCTCTGAAATTTTGTACATTGGGTTCTTATTGGGTACCAAATTACTCCACTAAACATTATAAAAATAGGTCAAGTTTTTATGGTAGTCCCCATATAACGGTACCCCCAAATTTTTGGTATTTTGGGGGTTCTGATCGTATTTTTCGACCGAATTAACTGTAATTTAGTTAGTCGAGTTCTTATTAGGTAGCAAATCTCTCCACTATAAATTATAAATATTGGTCAATTTTTTCTGGTATCCCATATATAAGGGTACCCCTCAATTTTCGTATTTTGAGGTTCTTGAACCAAATTTTTTTATACCCTTCACCACACTGTGGTACAGGGTATTATGTCTTATGCATATGTTTGTAACAGGCAAAAGGAAACGACATACACACTTTTGAGAATATGCATATGCGATTTAAGCACGAAATTTGGCACAGCGTAACAAATTAGGCCTAAAATGATGTGTGTTAAGTTTCCTGAAAATTGGTTTAGATTTATATATAGCTCCCATATATATTTTCGTCCGATTAAATGTAAATTGTGCACCAAAGTCCCTATATATCTTTCGATTTGCACGAAATTTGGCACAGCGTAATGAATTATCTCTAGAATGATGTGTGTTAAGTTTCCTGAAAATCGGTTCAGATTTAGTTATATATCTTATATATATTTTCGTCCGATTTAAGGTAAAGTGTGCACAAAAGTCCCTATATATCTCTCGATTTGCACTAAATTTGGCTCAGCGTAATGAATTGGGTCTAGATGTGTGCTAAGTTTCCTGAAATCGGTTCTGATTTAGATATAGCTTCTATATCTGACCAAATGAACAATTTAGTATCGGTTGCAGAATGACGTGTTTATGGTCCAAATTCATTTTACTGATCCGTTAAAAATGCGACGTCGGTTAGGATTCATCTGTTGAATATACTCAAAGTGGTGAAGGGTATCATAAAGTCGGCCCCGTCCGACTTTACTACTTTCCTTACTGTTTTTTTTTTTTTTTTGCAATTGTTTGTCAAGTGGCATGTTTTGGTGCTTGTTTGCATTGACAATTGTCACAGTTGTCAATTGCAAACCATTGTATGTTTGCTTATTAACTTTTTTAACATACCGCATTTTGGGTTAAAACAGTTCTATAGAATATTTAGTTCATTGAAAAATAATTAACAACATTTGTGCATTTTTGTAAATGAGACACATTTTTTTAATATTTATTTAAATAAATTGAAAAAGAAATGGGACAAATAATTTGTATAATAAAAAATTTGTATACCGTCCACCGTAGTATAGAGGGCAATATTTCAAATTTTTTAATATTCCATTTTCAGAATATCAGCTTTTTTGTTTTTGTGGCACTTCAATGATTTTTGGTACACATATAGAGAAAAATGTTCTGATTAATTTAAAAATATCTACATAATCTAAACACCATGATGAATCAAATGGTATCAAAATCACACAAGTCCGTGTAGCGGTTTGTAAATCACAGCGACAACAAAACAAGATATTGAGGAAAATTTTTTGTTTTGGGTTCGAAAAAATAATGTCATCATATTTATTTTTTTAATTTTATACAAGAAATTTCAGCAAAAAATGTTGGGGTTATTCTACTATT